AAGACACGGAGCTGGAGAGGCTGAAGTTTGTGGACAGCATTAAAAGCTACAAGTCCAAGGCGGTGAGTGGAGACCCGTTCTGTGTCTGAGCTGGGGGGGAGGGAAGGGCCGTGCCGCTCATCCCATTCCCGCTCTGGGATCAGACCATCTTTGAGATCAACGCCACGTCCCGCACGCTGGCCAGCACCGTGATGCGCTCCAAGCGGCGCCACGACCATGCCCTCATTGAGAAGTACCAGCGCGGGCAGCAGGAGAAGCGGGCAGCAGCTCTCAAAGGGCAGGGGCTATGCCCGGCCCCCCCTGCCCCTGAGGAGGGAGAAGGAGAAGGCAACCAGGAGGAAGACCTCCAGGTAATGGGGCAGGGATAGGGGATGCCCGTGGGAGCTCTGGGCTGTGCTGGGGGCTGATGCAGGGGTTTGCAGTGTCCTTGATCCCTTCCAGGACGTGTTCTCCAACGTCTCAGGCCAGAAGAGAAAGCGAGGCCGAGGAGGAGAAGGTGGCCCCAGGAAGAAGCTGCAGCAGTCGGCACAGCAGGACAAGGACTTCTACATCCCCTACAGACCCAAGGACTTCGAGAGCGAGAGGGGGTGAGTCTGGGGGGGCTCCTGCTGCTGCCCTGCCCCAGCGGGGCCGCTCTCACCGCCCGCCCTTTGCAGGCTGAGTGTTGGTGGCGAGGGCAGCCCCTTCGAGCAGCAGGCGGCCGGAGCAGTGCTGGATCTCATGGGTGATGAAAACCACAACCTCAACAAGAGCAAGCAGCTGCTCAAGTGGTGAGTGGGGACTGTCTATGGGATGGAGGGTGGGATGAAGGCTTGGGGGGGGGGGTTCTACCGCCCTCTCCTCTCTCACAGGGACCGTAAGAAGAAGCGTTTTGTGGGGCAGACAGGACAGGAGGACAAGAAGAAGGTGAAGACGGAGAGCGGGCGCTACATCAGCAGCTCCTACAAGAACAACCTGTATCCTGTCTGTGATTGTGCCCTGCGACTGTGGGGCCATCCCCTACCCGCGGCGGGGTGGGGGGGAGGCTGGTCAGACACCGCAGTGGGGAGTCACTGCACGTCCCCTTAACGCACCGGGCCAGCTATGAGAAGTGGAAGCAGAAGTACAAGGTTGATGAGCGGGATGAAGATGAGGAAGAGGGGCACAGCCGAGGGCAGTTCCGCGGGAAGCACCGGCGTGGACATGGTGAGTACCCGGAGCAAGGGGTGAAGGCCCCCCCATCATCCCCCCCATTGCCTCACCCCAAGCCACCCCCTGCAGGGCCCACGCAGGCCCCGGCCCGGGTGCGCTCGGAGCTGAAGAACAAGCAGCAGATCCTGAAGCAGCGCAAGAGAGCGGCCAAGCAGCGGTTCCTGCAGAGCGGGGGGCTGAAGCGCCTCAAGGCCCGCAACCGGCAGCGCGTGCAGGAGCTGCGGCAGATGGCCTTCGGGCGCAGGGTGCAGGGCACCAAGAAGGGCAAGATGAGGAAGAGGGTGTAGGGGTGGGGGCTGAGCCCCGGTGGCTCCCCCCTCACCTGGGCTGGACACTGGGGAAAGGGGCATTAAATACGGGGCTGGTTTGGAGGATGTGGGGTCCTCTTTGTCCTTGCTAAAAGCACTGTGCATGGGGTGATTCCTGCTTTGGGCCACCACCAGGTGCAGTCCTAAATCAAGTGTTGCGGGTATGTGGCTGGGTTATAATGGAATGGCTTGGGTTGAAGGGACCTTCAAGCTCACCCAGCTCTAACCCCTGCCATGGGCAGGGACCCCTTCCACTGGAGCAGCTTGCTTCAAGCCCCTGTGTCCAACCTGGCCTTGAGCACTGCCAGGGATGGGGAATATATTTTGATGGGAGATGCCTGAACATGAGCAGCAGGAGGGTACCCCGGAGGGTCAGGCTCTGCCATGGGGTGTCCCATCCCCTACCCCAGTGCAGTGCCAACCCACTGTGTCTGTGCCACTGCCACCCCTGCTGCCTCTTGGGAGGGGTCCCAGACGTGTCAGGCAGTGACCCCCATTCCCAGTGCTGTGGCTCCGTGCTGGCCATGGCAGCAGTCCCAGGGGGTTACTGGTGGCTCGGTGGCACCTCTGCACCCCTGTGATGCACACTGGTGGCTGCAGGACACGGCCCCGGCTGCCTGGGGCGCAGCTCGGTGCAGATGGCAGCCAGGTCCTGCATGCAGAGCAGCACCTGCGGACAGGAGCCTCATGCCACAGCCATCCGAGGACAGGGACAGCCCCGTGTGCCCCTGCGCAGGGGAGAGGCTGCACTGACCGTGTCCAGCTGCGCCTCGGTGTCCTCCAGGGCCACGTCTGTGCAGACCTTGAGCGGTGCAGTAGCGAGGTGGAAGAGGTTGAGCACTGCCAGCTTGATCTGCGCCAGCACCAGGGTCTTCTCGGTGGCCGTGCTTTGGGCATGGGCCCAGCAGGACTCCTGGGCACAGAACAGCAGAGAGCCCTTGCCCCCTTTCCATCCACATCCCCTGCAACCCCTCCCCTGATGGGACAGGGACACCCGGGGGTCCTGGCTGTGTCTCCCCCATGCACAGCTGATGCTGCTTTATGGGTGCATGGGGAGCGCTGGCTCAGCCAAGTGGATGCAAGCCAGCTTCCCACCACCACCACACTGGGCATTCCCCTCACCATGAGGTGTGGGTCCTTCTGCTGCCCCCCTCCACGTCCCTCCTTACCCCCTGCAGCACCTCACGGTGGGCAGCCTCCAGGCACGCGTGGAGCTGGGCCCGCTCGGTGGCGATGCACAGGAGCTCACTGAGGGTCTCCTCACGGTACCCCCGGAGCCGTGCCCAGCCCCGTGCCAGCCGCTCCTGCCCCGCTTCTGCCTCCTGCGCCAGGGCTGCCCGCAGGGCCAACAGTGCCTTGAAATGGGCCAGCATGGACGGGACATCCTGGAACTGGGCAGCGAGAGGGGGCTCAGAGCCTGCAGGGGTATGGGGGCCGCTGCGCCCCACACAAGGAGCCTGGGGACGCGCTCACCTGCCCCATCCTGGCCAGCACATCCTGCAGGTAGCCATGGAAGCGCTGGAGGCTCCGGAGGCGTTGGGCTAGGTGGTCCCTGTGCTGCCGCAGCCCTGCAAGCTGCTGGTGCAGGCGGGCGGCCTTAGCATCCTGCTCTGCTGCCTGTGCCTGCGCCTCTGCTGCGCGCTGCTGCACCCGCTCCTGCCTCGCTGCTGAAGCCTGTGGGGTGGGGATGGGGTCAGCAGGACCCCCATGGCCACCCCAGCCCCAACCCCTGCACAGCACCTTGAGGAAGGCAGCGAACTTGAGGGCAACATCCCGGAGCCGCTGTTCCCTCTGGTCCAGCTCCTGCCGGCGCTGTTCCAGGCGCTCCATCCTCTGCCGGAACTCCTGCGGGAACACTGGGGGTGGCAGCATCCCATGGACAGCCCGTGCTGTGCCAGGGGTGCAGCACTCGGGCAGGGGACACATGGAGAGGCTGGGGTCTGCCCTTACCTCCCGCTGCCTCTGCAGCGCCTGTTCCACCTCTGCCACCTCCCGTCTCTTCAGCAGCAAGCGCATGGAGGGCTGCGGTGCGACACTGCCCAGCACCGGCACCGGCACCATCCTGCCATGGGCTGTGTGGAGCTCACCGTGCCCAGGAGGGGGGAGCAGCACCCCCAGGGGCCACCGCTGCCTGCCTGGGCTCAGCACCGGGAGCCAGGCCTGCTTTTCCATGAAGGAGTTGGTGGTGGTGGTGTTATCCCTGCCTGCCTGGTTATCATCCACCCTCCCTCCCCGCTTCAGCCTCACCCCACTTGGAGCAGCGTTCCAAGGAAGGGGGTGGGCATTGGCACAGCCTCAGCTCTCTGGTTAGACCCTGGGGCATCCCCCTCTGCCTCCCCATAGCCCACAGCAGGGCAGCAGCTCTGCACATCCCTCCTTCCAAGGGAGGCAGCAGGAGCTGTGCTCCTGGAGCAGGGGGAATGCACCTCTGCCCATCCCGGGGGATCTCACTCACGGCAGCCGCAGCTTGTCCCGGAAAGCCCTGCTCAAATGCTCCTCCAGGTCCAAGGCCATCCCTGCTGGTGCCTTCCCAGCACGGAGGACTGGAGGCAGCTGGGATGGCGGCAGCACAACACCGTTGCCAAGGGCAGCCGGAGGCTCCGGCCGCTCCCTGGGGTTTTCCGGGCCTGGCTCCAAGCACAGGGACTGCACTGAGGCTCCTGGGGACACCTGCAGGCCTCTAAACCCACCCTGCACTGCAGGGCCCCAGCCCTCAGACCTTGCCCCAGCCTCCATCGCCCCTTCAGAGAGCACCGCACATGAACAGATCCCATCCACTGCCCCACGGAGCGCTCAGGGGTGTCCCCATCCCGCCTCCATCTATCTCTCACTGCTCTCAGCACACTTCACCTCCTCTCTGTGTGCCCAGAACACCTCCCCTTTCCACCCCATGTGCCATCACATCCCCTTCATTCCCCCATGTTCCATCAGATCCCCTTCATCCCCCCCATTACCCTTCAGATGTCCTCAGGTGCCCTCCCTTCTCCATCATCCCCACTTCACACAGCTGATTATTGCTGGTCCCCTCCTGCAGAGCCCTCTGCTCCTCTCCATGCGGATCCTGCTCCCCTCATCCCCTCCCTGTGTGAGTTCCTTCTGTGCTTCCCACCACAGCCAGGCATCCCCCTCAAAACCACTGCCAGCTAACTCCCAACTTAGACATGGAGCAGCATTCCAGAAGGATTAGGGAAAAATGTTTATAATAAAACCAATAAAGGCCCCTATAGTCAGCAGCACCCACGTCCTGCCCATGCACCACTTGTTTCCTCTGTCATCCCAGGACCATTGTGGCCCCGCAGTGACTTTCTCCATCGCACTCCTGCAACCCCAGCACTGGTCATGGGGACCAAGCCACGGCCCCATACTGGTATCTGAGTCCATCAAGGGGAGCAGGCTACAGACACCCACTTGTGAGCTCTTTCTGCACTGGGTGCCACCTTGTTCAAAAGGCACCTGAGGCAAGGAGGAAGGTGAAAGGGGAAATGGAGACACGTGGCTGGGAAAGGGGTGAGTGGAGAAGGCAGTGAGGATGCTCTGACCGATCCAGCCCGCTGAGGACAGCCTGTGCTCAGCCACACAGCAAGGATGTGCCTGGCGCTGGGCATCCAGCTGGAGCTCTGTGTGCTTCTGCTTCATGGAACTATGAGCCTTGTGTCTCCTCTCCCCTCATTTCCTCTGCAGAGCCCCTGCCATGCTGCTCGCCATCGTCACCTGCACAGGGCACAGAGCAGCAGCATCTCAGAGGAGCCAAGGAGCCAGAGAACAGGAATTCCTCCCTCCCAGCAGGCACAGGCTGCAGAAGGCACCAGGGCTCACCTTCCATAAGGCAGTTGGGATAAGGAGCTGGAATGCTGCTCCCATTGACCAGTGCCAGCACCTCCTGTTTGGCAGAGCTGCTCATGGCGTCTTCTTCCCCATTCCCATCGTCATCATCTGAGTCCACCAGCACTAGGACATCATCTGAGTCTTGATTCCTGTGAGGAGCAGAGCACGCAGATGCTAAAAGGCTGAGGACAGCCTGTGCCCCCTGGGCTTTGACCAGCCTCTACCCCAAAATGACCAATGTTGATGGACTCCTCCAATCCTGCACTAACCATGGGCAAAACCAGCTGCTTTCAGACCATCAGCACATTCTGCACTGCTTCCCATTCACTTCCCAAGTCCTCCAACCAGTTCACAAACATTCATGTACTACACTTCACCAGCCCCTCCAGAGAGGAGCTGTCTTCCCTCCTGTACGGATGGGGAAATGATGGCACCCAGAAGAGACTTCCCATGCCACAGCTCCAGAGCTGTGGGAAGAGGGGCAAGGGAAGGAGCAGGGCCAGGAGGAGTGCAAGCTGGAAGCGGGGAAGGAATGTGGTGCACCCAAACCCCAAGGTGCCACTTGTTCATGTGCATCCTTCCTGAGGGGATAAGGACATGGTGCAGACCGGTTACTCCTCAACTGCACTGTCCCTGTGCAATCCCAAAGTGACTGGGATCCTGCTGCTGCTCTGATGCCAAGCATCCCCCTCTCTCACCTCAAGCTCTGGCTCCTGCACCCATGCCAGCCCCACCACCCCCTTGCACAGGCACAGCTCCCAGGTCAGAACAGCTTTGCTCTGGGAATGGCTCCTGCCTCAGAGGTGGATCACTAGTGAGGCCTCTTGGGACTGGGCTGAGGAACATCAGCACTTACCTGAAAGCAGCACCTGAATGGGAGAGAAGGCAAGGGAAAAGAGCATTAGAAACCAGCCCAGGGCAGTACTGGTTTTACTGCACAAGCCCTGTCTATCCTGCCTGGAGCAGGATGGCCCCTGGCAGCCACACGTGGAGGCTCAGACAGGAAGGTGACCTGCCCATGTATGCAACAGCAGCATCAGAGGGGTCACAAGGAAAGGGGAGAAGGCCCACCACAGTCCAGCTCCTGGAGAAGGCGAGGGGAAGAACAGAGCTGCTGTTTCAAACCCATCCAAAAGGGTTTATGACCAGGAGCAGGGTGAGGCCCAAGGGCTGAGGTGACCATCAGTGGCTGACTCCAGCACACCAAGAAGGACAAGCAGGTTGGGGATAAAACCAGATCAACCCCATCCCTGTGCAGAGCAGAGCTCCTACCTCTGAGGCACAGCAGGGGACTGTAGTACAGGACAACGCCGGTGACAGTGAGGACAGCCAGCAGGGACAGGACCACCACAGCACCCACGACCCCAACAATGTTCACTGGCTCTGTGGAGAGGAGACACAGGAGGTCAGCTTGTCAGAGACATGGATGGGTGAGGAATATTCAGTGCAAGTAACACAGCAGGTCCCAGCTCCCGTTTCCCATCCCAGCAACAGTCTCACCAGCACAAAGGGTGAGGGTTTCGGCCACTCAAGCTTCACTGACTTAGAAAGAAGTGACCAGTGCAGCCACTGGTTTTGTGCCCACATACATTTAGTGACAGTGAATCAACCCCTGCCCACTGCACCTCGAGCAGCTTGGCTCTTGGAGGTGCTCCTCTGAGTCCACAAGCCCCCCAAGCATCAAGGATGTACCTCTCTGCTCTGAGGTGAGGGGAATTGGTCCTTTTCACCCTGGGCTGAAGGGAGCCAGCCCTGCATTAACACTTGCCACAAGAGCATGGGAAGCATCAAAGGCCGGCTCCATGCACCAAAGGATGTATGGAAGGCATAGTATCACAGTATCACAGTATGTTAGAGATTGGAAGGGAGCTCAAAAGATCATCTAGTCCAATCCCCCTGCCGGAGCAGGAACACCTAGATAAGGTTACACAGGAACGTGTCCAGGTGGGTTTTGAATGTCTCCAGAGAAGGAGACTCCACAACCTCCCTGGGCAGCCTGTTCCAGTGTTCTGTCACCCTCACTGAGAAGAAGTTTCTTCTCAAGTTTAAGTGGAACCTCTTGTGTTCCAGTTTGTACCCATTGCCCCTTGTCCCTATCATTGTTTGCCACTGAGAAGAGCCTGGCTCCATCCTCGTGACACTCCCCCTTTATATATTTATATACACTAATAAGGTCACCCCTCAATCTCCTCTTCTCCAAACTATAGAGACCCAGCTCCCTCAGTCTTTCTCAGTGGCAAACAGCCCCAGTGAGCTGTGTCCCCACAGTCCCCACTCACCCTTCACTGTGAGGCAGACGAAGAGCTCCCTCAGCCCCACGGGGTTCTGAGCCTTGCAGACGTAGCAGCTCCCGTCGGTGGCCTGGGAGCAGTTCTGGATGGTGAGCCGGGACACGTTGTCCTCCTGGGTGATGAGGTACCTGCCTCCGGGCTGGATCTCTGCCTCTGCCCCTGGCTGTGCGATGCCCCGCAGCCACGTGAGCCTCGCTGAGGGGGTGCTCTCGGTCACTCGGCACGTCAGGGTCACGCTGTCACCCACAAAGCAGGTCTTTGGGGGATCTGATTCCAGTGAAGGGATTGCTGAGCAGCCCCAGGCAAGAGGAACAAGGAAAGAGGCAGGGAGGGAATGGAGGGGTTTAACAGAAGGAGCAATCAGCATCTGACTGATTCATAATCATTAACAGGAGGAGGTCAGGCAGGAGTCTGGGCTTGAGCACTGAGGGTTTGGCATTCAGCTCACCCACAGGACTGCAGCAGCCTCCCAAGGACAATCTGAGCATTGCTTTTCTGACACCCATCTTTGTACCCCCAGTGGGATATACAGATTTACATCTGCCAGTGGGAAGATGGCAGAGAGGAGAAAGGCCAGGATTGTTCCGTGGGATCAGCAGAGCTCTTGTGTAGCTCTGACAAAGGAGGATAAATACAGCTCAGGTTTCCCAAAGCAGCTTTAGTCAGATCCCTCAGATGCCTGATGGGGGTCTCTGGGGACATCCATGACCTTCCTCCCCTAAACCCAGCCCTACCAAACTTAATGTCAAGCTGAGCAAGGCATTAAAACCACCTCCCACTTTCTCACAGTGCTTGCACAGGTGAAAAGCTTCATGTGGGGCCATTCAGCCCCTGAAGATGTACCCAAAACACAACTGATGGATCTCAGCTGCACGACTTCCATGCCTTGGGCAGTCACCTCTGCACAAGCCCAGCCCTGCTACTCCTAGCATCACCCCCTGCAGCGGGCAAGTGCCTGCAAGCCTGTCTTGCCTGAGCCCTGCTTTAGTGCTCTGGAGGGCAGAGGGTGACCAGGGTTGGTGCCTGCCCCACCACCAGCAGGCTCATGAATGGCCATTAAGGTGGGCAAGAGAACTCACTTATCTCCACAGTGCACGTGGGCTCCTCCTGCCTGACCACGTGGCTCCCCACACACTTGAACACTTTGCGGTGGGAGAGGTGGGAGCTGTTGAGCGTTTCCACATGGGTGTCCGAGGAGCTCGTGGAGCTGAGGACCCAGCTCGAGTTCTCCAGGTCCTGTCCCTCTTCTCTCCAGTGCAGGGTGGGGTGGGGATAACCCCCAGGCCAGCTGCAGACCAGCTGCAGCATCAGCCCCGATGCGGAGGTCTGAGCCCAGCACTTTGGGGTTGACTGTGGTGGATCTATCAGAAAGGACAGCACGTGGTTAGAGACACTTTCAGGTCACAGCTCTTGGTGTCCCAGGGGCTGGAACGCCCCCAAGGGCTGGTGTTTGACATCATTCCCCTTGAAAACCTTCCTGGTTTCCCTGCTTATCTTCTCCCTGACCTGTGTCCCACAGCCCCAGGAGAGCACAGCTCTGAATGACAGCCAACAGGGACCAAGCAGGGGCTGTCACAGCAGCCACAGCCAAGCCTTGAGGGACTATTGCACAGGGAGGAAAAAGATGACTGCCACAGCTTTATCCAATGGAGCACCTAAAGCACAAGACAAGCACCTAAAACCACAGTGGGAGAACCAAATCTCCACCCTGCCCTTGGTCCTCATGCCACAGCTACAAACAGGTGACACCGATTCACACTACCTGATGACAAGGCTCTACCTGTCCCCATCACTGAGACAAGCATTAAGATTTCTCAAGGGAACAAGGAAAGCACCAGGGCCCTTGCCCAGGGACAACCCACCAGCTCCAAGCTGGAGCACTTCCCCAGTCCATGCTGAAGGCAGAGGCTGTTCCTAGTGTACAAGATGCTCTCCCCACAGTGTGACTCCAGCTTGCAGGGCCACAGATACGTGCCACTGAAGCCAAAGCAAGCGTGCTCTGCTCCTGCCCACCACCACTGTCACTGCCACATGGTATTGCTCACCTGCACAGCACACTGTGTCCACACCATGCTGCAGCAGCGGGGACAAACTCCAGCAGAGAACAGAAGCAGGGTAAGTCACCACTGGCCTTGTGCCAGGGCCACCTCACCACCCCAACGACTGTGTTTGTTATTTAAATACAGGAACCATGACATGCCCTCAGGAGCAGGTCAGAAGCCAATAGAAACCCAAGAGCAAGCCCTCAGGCAGAGCAGGGCTTGATGCAGCAGCAGTTCCTGAGTGTGTCCCATGGGATGGTTTCATAGGCACACTCCCATGCTCAGACAGACACACGTGTCCGTTCAACAGCCACAGGGATTCTGGACTCTGATCCAGGCAGCATGAGCACACTGTGCCCCTGTGGCTGGCTTACCTGAGCCAAGCAGGCACCACTGAGAGCTCAGCCCCACACAGGAGGTGTCAGAGGGATGCCTGGGGTCTATTTTGTGGAGTGTTTACTCAAGTGAGTTCCAAATGGCAAAGGAAACGACTCATCATCATGGCAAAACCCCTGTGAGCTCCACTCGTACCTTCCTGGGGCTTGGCTCTCCAGGAACTACAGACACCCAGCTCGTATAATCTTTGAAACCACCCAGCTTTGGCAAGGAATTTCTCGACACCACTTCCTCTGCCTCAGCTCTGGGGGGATCACAGCTGACCCCAAACCCTGGCTGTGGATAACAACAGCAACCTGTCAGCCTTGACCACCACAAACCACCCCACTTCGAGAGGCAGACCCAGCACAGGAGGAACATGCTTCCCATCCTGGACTCCCAGGCTCTCCCAGTACAACTCCAGTGCCTAAATGCCAACAGAGATCTGTTCCCAAAGGGTTAACAAACCATAAACACCTAAAAACCTCCAATCTCCCTCAACCAAAAACCCTCACAAAACACCAGCAAAAAGGATCTCATGCCCACAGCAGCTTGTATCACATTGGACACAACCATACCAAGGAATCCCTTGGAGGTGTGCAATTCACACCATGAGTTTCCCATTCAGAACAAACATAGACCAGCAGCTCAAGGCAGGGCTGCACCTTTGATGTGTTGCTAGAACGTTCACTCTACTGCTGGGGGGGGGGGTTTAAATGCAGTGCTGAGCAAACAGAGAACGTTTAGTACGACCCATGAGACAGCTGAGAAGCTTCAACCTCCAGTGTTTGCTGATGCTGCTTCTGCTGATCTAAAGCACTGCCAGAAACACCTCTCTTGCCTATTTCAGGACATACCAGTGTCCCAGATCACCTTTGGAAATGAATTTACACATTAATTCCAGGCCAATCATTGAAGCTCAGACGCAGCATCAACACTTGGCATGCCATAGGTGTCTTTTGCTCATGTGGGTTTGGCACCCTCCCCAGTGCTGTGCCTACACATATATATCCTCTGAAGCAATCTGGGCTTTGAGTCCCTCACTCCAGCTCTCTGTGACCCTGCAAAGCTTGCCTGCAAGTGCCCTGACACAGGAATGAATGTGACCTTTCCGAGCTTGAATCTTTACAGAACAGGCACAACTTTCACAAACACCACGGAGGAAGGAGCACCCTGAATGCAAACAGAAAACACCTCTCACATACAGCAGGCAGTGACAGAAAGCCCAGCACGAAAGGAAGGGGTTAGAGAGCACGGAGTGTCACCAAAACAGACTGACAACAGCCCTTCCCTCTCCTCAGCCCTGTAACATGGACTCGGCTGGCACAGAGGCCAGCAGCTCAGAGCCCAGCTCACAGCTGATTTGACCTGGGGAAGGGTCCAAGAATGGCACCAGCCACAGGACCTCCTAATCTGGATGAGGCTGTTCCACAGAAGAGATGAGGCACCCAAGGAGGATAATGGTCCTGCACCAGCAGTGTGCAATGCAACTTGAGAGCTCTCCAGCCTGTGCTTGTGAAGGGTTCAAAGGGGATGAATGAATGAAACAGAGGTGGGAGAGAGCACCAAAACACACAACAGGACCAAAAGGCTGGCACGCTCCCAGCAGGAAATTAAGGAATGGGGTGTTTCCATCAAATTTGGAAGGCTGCACTCTCAGACCTGGCACAGACAACTTCTGAGCTGAGGTTCCTCCATTCTCTCACTGAAATGAACAGCACAGCACACCGATTTCAAACAGTCTTTAAGGCAGTGAGCAGCAGCCCCCATCCTAAGACAGATGAAGGCTCAAGTCAGCCATGTTCTGAGGCACAGGACATGAAAGATCAGTCCAAAAACTAGTTCATCATCACCAACGAGGAAGGAGCTGAAGAGACACAGTGAAGAGCTCACTGATGGCGCTTCATCCTCAGCATCACACACAACTGGTCCTTGACAGACCTTACAGATACACATCCTGGTGCTTGTGAGTGAACCTGTAACAGAGCAGCACCAGCCTGCCTACAGGTCTTGCTCCATGTGGCCACCTTGCCCTATTTGACACTGCTTTTCCAGCACTGCAAATGAATGTGGGCTCCTGCGGGACTGAGGGGAGGGAATTCAAGATGCAGGACAAACTTACTGGCTACCAGGAGCTGGACCCTGTGCTCATGGTCCGTCTTGTTCAGCACCTCCCTGCAGGTGTAGTTGCCTTCATCCTGAGCACGCAGCTCTGTGATGCTCAGAGAGCTGTTGTCAACCAGGGAGAAGCGGACATCCGGGGGGAAGGCGACCCTTGAGGAGAAGAGTGGGGGGAAAGAGCGTGGATCCCCTTGGAACCACAGCACCTCGGTGGCTTCTTTGGAGACATTGCGGCACAAAAGGAGGATGCTTCCTCCAACCTTCCCGAAGACCACTTCCTCTGTTCCTGCAAAATGGAAGGGGCAGTGTTAGGGATGTAGGGAGCCGGCAAAGCCCTCTTCTGACAGCAAAGACCCCTATCTATCTATCTATCTACATCAATATCATATATATATGATATATATTATACGCAAAGACCTCTATACATATATATGATATATATTATACACAAAGACTTGTACATGTATGTATGATATATATTATACACAAAGACCTGTATATATATTATATGCAACCTGTATACATATATATATTATATGCAAAGACCTGTACATATGTATGTATGATATATATTACACACACAGACCTGTATATATATATTATATGCAGACCTGTTTACATATATATGATATATATATTATATACAGACCTGTATACATATATATGATATATAGTACACGCAAAGCCTGTATACATATGATATATATTATACACAAAGACCTGTACATATGTATATATGATATATATTATACACAAGGACCTGTATATATATATATATGATATATATGCAAAGACCTGTATATCTATATGTTATATATTATACACAAAGACCTGTGTGTGTATATATATATGAGATACATATATACCTACACAAAGACGTGGTATCTGTCCAGGTCTCTGTGACACATACCAACCATCTGAGGCACTTGTTAGGGGCCCTGCTGCCAAACTATCCCCAATACCCATTTGGCAACTACCGATGTTCACTGTAGCCATGGCCAAGAGGAGGGACACAGCTCAAAAGACCCAGCAGGAAAGCAAGAACCAAGCATTTCTGACCCAGAGACCCAAAGGAGAGCGGTGTTTGCGCATCAATACAGCCAACAGCAATGGCCACGCTTGGCACATGTTCTGGAGACCACTTGCCCATGCAGCCGCATCCCTGCAAGAGCTCAGGCTCCGAAAAGGAGACAAAAGCCACCCCAACCAATATTGGTGATGACGGAGATGGAAAACTGTTGGAAAACTGATGGAAAACTCAGGAACTGCTGACAGCCCCCCATACTTTTCCTACCTTCCTCTGCCAAATGGCACCCCCCAGGGCTCTGCAGCAGTCCCCCCTTCCACCACCCCCCTCAGCATCCGCCCCGCTTGTTTCCAATGGGAATTGTGTTATTTTATGCACCAAAAAAAGTCCTTTTTAAACCGAGAAACCCGCACCGGGGCCGGCCCTCAGGTGCGTGCCGGGCTGAGGTAAGGGCTGTCATGGCCACCGCCCGGCGCTCGCAGCTCTCCTCCCCTCAGCCCCCGCTACCTGTGGCGTCCCGCCGCGGCACCAGCCTCCACACACAAAGGGCGAGGAAGAACCGCGCTGGCGGGGTCCCGCCGGGGAACCGCATCGCCGCCGCAACGAGCCTCCCGCCTCGGAGAGGCGGTGCTGCCCGGCCCCCGCCCCGGCGAACGGGCAGGGGAAGAAGGCGGGCAGCTCCGGACGGGCCCGCCCGCCTCCCTCTGCGCCGGCCGGGGCCGGGGGTCCTGGATCAGACCCCGCCGCCTCAGCCCGCCATCTTAGAGGCCGCCATCTTGGGCGCCCCCCAAGGCCACGCCCGCCATCTTGGGTACCCCTCCTCAGGGGGGCCCGGGGCCGGTTCTGCTGCCCGGGGAGCCGGGGTATGGCCGCGGATGGTTAACACAAGGAGGATGGTGCTTCCACAGCAAAGCGAAGCACAGGTAGTAAGCGAACCCCCCCCCCCAGAGGATCTGCCGTTAATTCAACCGCTTAGAGACACCCCAAGAGCAACGGGAGCAGGAAGCACTGAGGTAAATGGCTGTGAGCCTCGCCTCAAACTGTGTGGTTCTTGGGGATGGGGTTGAAAAAGAGGCAGGTAACAGGTTGAGGCAAAAGTGGACAGCAGCAGAGCACGGAGTAGGAAGCAGGTGGAAAGGGCAAAGGATGAGCTGCTCTGCAGCTGGAGGGATCCCAAGGACAGAGGCGACCAGGAAAGATACGACTGCTGTCATGTTTAAAGGCGTCCCTTGGATGTGAAGGTAACAGCACAGCCAGCGTGCTGCTAACTTAAAGCAGTGGATGCTTGAGGAGAAATCGTCCCAGTATATAGGTTTCTGTGCTAAGCGATGCCAGGTGACCCCAGTGGCGCTGCCTGGTGTTACCACTGCAACTGGTGTCCTCGGGTTCCTTTAGGACCGCCTAGGCAGGGTCCTAAAGGACCAGCTCCGCGCCTCATCATTAATAACCTAATTAACACGGGCAGCGGAGCTCGGCTCCTCCCGCCCTGCGCCAACTTCGGGCGGCACCGCCTGGGGGCGCCCTAACAGCTGGAGCGTCTCCACCAATGGGAGCGGAGCGTGGCGGCGCCTCCGCCAATGGGAGCGGGGAGGCGGGCGGCGGGGGCAGAGTGCGCAGCGCGGTGCAGCAGGAGCCATGCCCGTGGACCTGGCGCTGTGGAGCGGGCCGCTGAGCCTCACCGAGGTGGAGCAGAAGCCGGCGCAGCCCTTGCGGGTCAAGTATGGCTCCGTGGAGATAGACGAGCTGGGCAAGGTGCTCACACCCACTCAGGTGAGTGAGGGCCCGGCCTGTGGTGCAGGGGGGCGCGGCAAAATGGCGGAAGGTGGCCGGGTCTATTGGGCCTCCTCTGTGGTAGCTCCTATGGGAGCCTCACCGGGTGCTGAGCTTTGCTGCCGGCTCTTGTAGCGGGGTGGCGCGGTCCGGCCCCGCTCCGTGCTGCCGGAGAAACCCCGGCGGCCCTAATGGGCCTGAGCCGTCAGGAACGGCCTTGAACTGCGCGGTTGTTGGTGCCTGCGATGGGCAGACGTGCGTGCAGTAGGGCTGGCGTGGAGCTGCTAACGCTGCCCTCCCTCCAGGTGCAGAATCGCCCCACCAGCATTGAGTGGGATGGATGTGATCCCCAGAAGCTTTACACCCTGGTTCTCACAGACCCAGATGCGCCCAGCAGGAAGGACCCAAAGTTCAGGTAACGGGGACGGGGCAGCTCCCTGGGGTGAGTGGGGAAAGTGGAGCATCCCTCTTGGTCCGAGCAGGGGGTCAGGAATGTGCTCCAGCTAAGGTGCAGCAGCGAGTCTGTGCCCTTGTATCTCTCCTTGAGACAGGGACAGCATGGGGAGGAGCAGCTGCTTTTGCCAGGGGTGGTTGAAGGTCTCTTGTAGCTTAGAGAAGCACATCATCTGCTTGCTTTAATTTGGTGTGTGTGCAAGTTAGAATTAGGGCTGTCTGTGGCGGCAGTGCAGGCTTCAACCTGGGGCCAGCTCGCCCTTCTCAAGCCAGGCTCTGGGTATCACACAGCCACAGGGCAGGGGGGCAGACCCTGCTCTAGGACTGGCAGACGAGGAGGGGCAGCTCTTCAGCTGCAGTTACCCTGCGCTGACTGCAGCAGAGCAGCAGCCTGGGGCAGTGAAGGGTCTTGCACCCTCAGTGCTTTTTGCCGTTCTCCTTCCAGGGAATGGCATCACTTCCTGGTGACCAACATGAAAGGCAACAATGTGAGCAGCGGGACTGTGCTGTCGGATTACGTCGGCTCCGGCCCTCCCAAAGGGACAGGTTGGTACTTCCATGTGGCAATTCCCATGCTCCAGGCACAGTGGTGCTGTGTGGATCAGATGCAGAGAGGAGGGTGGGAGCTCTGCAGGGAACTGGCTGCCTGCTTGGCACATGCCATGCTGCAGGAATGGCCCACACAGCACAATGGCTGCATGTGGCCATGGACGCTATGAATAGCTGCCTGGTTCAAGGCCATCACAGTTACAGCATACTCAGGCTGCATTCCAAGAACGGGGAATGCAGGCATCCATTCCCCAGCGTTCCCAGGGTCACTTCAGAGCAGACCTGGCCCTGGGAATTGCATGGTAACGCTGTGTTGCTCCCCGCAGGGCTGCACCGCTACGTGTGGCTGGTGTACGAGCAGCCCAAGCCGCTGTCCTGCAACGAGCCCATCCTCTCCAACCGCTCCGGGGACAAGCGAGGCAAGTTCAAGGTGGCCTCTTTCCGCAGCAAGTACGAGCTGGGGGTGCCGGTGGCTGGCACGTGCTACCAGGCCGAGTGGGATGACTACGTGCCCAAGCTGTACGAGCAGCTCTCGGGCAAGTAGGGCGCGGGGCGGGGAGGAGGAAGCACTGTGCGGCACCGCAGGGACCGGGCTGGTCGCAGCACGTGGCTGTAGTTGTGTTTCGTTAGTGAATCCAACCTAACTGCTCCCGTTCTGGAGCTGTAACCTGCCCCTGCCCCTGTCCTGCCTGAGCCTGCTCCGTGGCGGTGTGCTCCAGCCCTGTGCTGCGCTTCTGCTGGCTCCTGCACGTCCAGGTGATCACTGTAAGGGCTACCACCCCCAGGCTGACCAGACCTGCGTTATGTCCCTGCTGGACTGAAGGTGGTGTGGGTACAGAACCACTTCTGGGGTGGTGCTGGCTGCGTAAGTCTCCCTTTTCCAGTATAGGAGGGGGCAGGTGAAGGGAAACCCTCATTTCTGTCTTGTATTCCTTTTACCCTCAAGCCTTTGGCCAGTGCATCCACTGCAGCGAACCACTAAAGTAGCGAGGGTGCAGCTAAGCTGATTTATAGCACTGCCTTCTGTTCTCTGTTGCCACTCGAAGCTGAGAGACCACTTCCTTTGTTGGAGTTCTGTTGTGACCCGATGTCAGTGTGCTGTTTGCTCACAGTGCAATTAAAAACGTACCAAGGTGGACGGTGTGGTTGTTGTCTTGGGGGGGTGTGGGGGGGAATGGTGTCACCATTCCTTTCCTCCTGGTGTGCAGTGGGGATGCAGCCTCCTGGCAGGGCACCCTAGAACTGGAGGTGCTGGAGGAGTGCAGCTCCAAGCAGCCACGTCCTATCCAACAACTTGTTTAGATCCGTTTAATCTGTATCCACTCACCTGGAGGCTCAGGTTGCTGTCACAGCAAACAGTGCTGGCTTTACAGCTGCAGAGGACACTTCTCAGGGTGCTGCTGAAGCCGCTCTAACTCATCAGCAGGGTGACTGACCCCCTGAGAACCTTCCATCACCAACCTTGAACCTGTGCAGCTGATGAGCCCCTCCACCTGCAGAGGTGACCCCTGGGCTGTCCCACATGGGTGCAGAACTGGAGGCCACAGCACCACGGCAGGAGGCTCCACCAGCTTTACTGACCTGCAGCCAGGCTCCAGCATCCTGGTTGTCCTCCTGATGCGCCAGCAGTGAGGCCTGGTGCTGCCTCCTGAGCGCTTAAAGTGGAGAACGAGCCTTTGGTCCAGTCTGGCATCTTATAAAGGTTAAAAGATGGGGCCAGTGTCATTCCCAGAGGAGCTGTGGCTGCCCCATCCCTGGCAGTGCTCACGGCCAGGTTGGACACAGGGGCTTGGAGCAAGCTGCTCCAGTGGAAGGTGGCAGGGACTTGAAACTGGATGAGCTTTAAGGTCCCTTCCAACCCAAACCAGGCTGGGATGCTGTGATATCCTACCTCATGGAACTCAAAGCTTCAAACTGGTCCCTTCCTCAAAGGAAGCGAGTCTGGAACTGAGGAAGAGGCTTGGTTTCTACCCCAAGGCAATTTGTCAACCCAGCCATTAAACCAGGCAATCCAGAGGGGAAACATCTCCACCAGCTCCAGCCCAACATCCCCATGACCAAGCGGATCAGGCAGCAGGGACCCATCAGCTCATCCATCCTGGGACTAAACCCAACCTCAACCCTTTCACTGCCTGGAGCAGCAGGTTTGGTGGGGGGGTGACCTCCCTGTGCTCCCAACACCCATGGCACTGGGCCGGGCCCCACAATGACACAGGCACGCGTTGTGATGAACACTTTTATTTACAAATATAAGTAAAAGCTCTGACAGTTAATTCATGCTCTTCTCGGAACCTGAAAAATGGGGGCGTTGGGGGGGGGGGGGGGGGTGTTTTTTTGTTTCATTTTCTTCTCTTTTATTCTTAAAGTGCATGCAAAAGAAGTAAAGCCTTGTTTTTTTCTCTTTTTATTGTAAGAAAATACACAGTTTGAAAGTGTGGAGAATGCAAGATTCGTGACCAAGATCGGGGGGGGGGTGGGCTGGGGGCAGGGACAAAGAAAGAGAACCCAAGAACTAAAAGCAAAGAAAGCCAAAAGTAAAGCAGAGAACAGAAAGGGGCTGGGGATGAGCCGAGAGGCCGGGGTCGAGCCCCGAGCGCTGGGAGGGGAAGAGGGGAAAGGGGGGAAAGAAGTAAAAAAAGTCCTGATCAGAGAACCAGTTAAAATACAATATGAAAATAAGTAAAAGCTCTCCTTAAATTTTTCCTTCTATACACAAAATACACGATTTGACAAAGCCCAATTTGTGCTACCGGGAATCCTGTGGGCTCCTTTTCTGAAGTGTCAATTCCCATTCTCTGCGACAGCAGAAAAGGGTTTATGATACAATCAAAGAGCTGATGCCGAGGAGCGAGGCCCCGTCCCCGCCTCGGCGCTGCTAAAAATCACCACGTCTGCCCCCTCCCCGCCCCGTCCCCAGAGTCTCAATGTCACCACTGATATGTACAGCAGGAGTTAAGGTTTTGTGTGGTTTCCTTGTCCTGTAAAATGTATCAAATCTTTTTTTTTTTTCTTTTTTTTTTTTTCTTTTTTTCAACTTTAATAAAATTTTTTATTATTTAATTATTCCTGATGAATAAATACCAAAAAAATAAAGACTAAAATTAAATTATGCAGCAGCTGGTTCAGGTAAGGCTGCGGATTTGTCTCTCTCCCCCTGGGCTTGGAGCTTGCCATTCGAACCGAGTTGGGTGCTTTTTTTGCTTTGTACTTTCATCGATTGGTGGTAAAATGAGTGATTGCTCAAAAGCAACAAACATCCACTTGGGGGGGTGGGGAGGGGGTTTATAGCCTTTTTTTTGTGGGTTTTTTTGCTTTTTTTTTGCCATTAAAATTGTCACATTTTGAATCATTGCACAGAGACATCAATACTGGGACATACTATGGAGAAGAACCACCAGGAGCTGTCCTGCACCGGGCTGGGACACGGGCCCCGGTGGTGGAAGGAGATACAGGCACTAAGTCCGACACGATGTCAGGAAGAGAGACAGAAAGAGAGAGAGCACTCCCGGTGACATGGGGAATGTTGGGTTTGCAAGTTTGCTCCTTGGTTTTGCCTCTTTTTTTGTTGTCTTTTTTGTGTGTGTGTGTGTGTGTTCTCAATGGCATAAAGCAATCTAATCTCATCTATAGTCCTCCTTGGGGTATTCTAACGTGACCAAATTCCCAAAGCCCATCCGCAAGCTCTCCATGTCAAACGTCTCAATCTCTCGCTCCTGCCTTTCCAAGAGAAACTTGATCCTCTCGCTGCGTTCCTTCTGCAGGGCTGCCAGCTCCTCCTCGATCTGCAGGAAGCAGAGGCAGCAGCCCCCTTAGCACAGCACCACCACCCCGACCCCACGGCCGCAGCCAGGCACCCCCCAGCCCGTACCTTCTGCTCGAGATGGGCCCTGCGCAGCGACACCCGCTGCTCCAGCTTCTGGAGCTCCCTTTCGTGCTGTGCTTCTGTCTGCATCTTGATTTTGCTCTGATACGCGTTGAGCAGCTCCATCTCCTGCTGCAGTTGCAGTCTCAGGGCTTGGCATTCTGCTTCTTGGGCCTCATCCAGTCGCAGCTGTGGGAGCGTTGGGAAAACAACGTTGGGATCTCCACGTGTAACTTCCCTGCTCTGACAGCAGGGACACGCGGCTCTGCCTTCTCGGAGTGCCCCTTCCTTCTCAGCACCAGAGCCTCTGGTGCTACTGCAGCTACTGCACACACAGAGGCAGGAGCCTCAAAGCAGACCCATTCCTAAATCCCCAGCTGGGAATGGATGTGTATTCTGGGAAGTGCTTGTTACAAGGGGGAAAACGTGTCCTGGTGCACTACAAAGCAGTTGTTACCAACCCAACCACACCACATGCTGCAGGGATGGATGGATTGACTGTACCCACATCCATGAGACCCCCCCCCCCGAGCAGGATGCTGCACCTACCGCCTGTGAGGCCATCATCTCGTTGATGCTCTGCTCGTACTGCTCGGCCAGGATGGCGAGCTTCCTCGTCTGCTCGTCCTTCAGACTCTTCAGAATTGTCTTGTGCTCACTCTTTGGAGTTACTTCCAGCTGGTGATTCTTCAGTGCTTTGTACTGCTTCGTCTGCACTTTGCATGTGTCCTGGAACTGCTTTTTGATCTGCATTTCCATAGCCTGCCAAGGAAGGAACGGTGTGAAGAGCGTTGGGAATGGAGAGGTTCCGGGGCATCCCAATGGGTGGGTTGGGTCCCAGCCCATCACCCTGCCTCCTGCCCTCCAAAAGTGTTCCCCCAAGTTTTGCTGTCTCTCCATCTCAGCCCTGGGGTACACAGGGTGTGGAGCTGACTGCAGGTGAGGGGGAGACAAGCAGACAGAAGCAGTGTGCCTTTGGGTGTTCACAGGAGGAACAGGCATCCCCACAACAAGCAGCTCAGAGGGCTCTGATCCACCTGGAGCCAGGCTGGGACAGAGCACAGCGCTCAGCACACCCATGCTCTCTCTTCCCTTTGAGAGCAGGAAGCATCCCCCAACCCCATTCCCTATCAAGGTTTACATGCTGATACCAGCAGGGCCTGAGGAAAACACAGCTCATCAGAAGCCAACACTGAACCATCTGCTGGGGATGAGCTTGGTTTCACCCAGCAGCCTCAACCAGCACAGCACTTAAAAGCCCTCAGCGAGCTCTTTGCTCTAAGATCTCCCAGCTTCCTCACACCAGAGAGGCCCTGTGCAAGGCAGGAGGCAGCAGGCCCAGGGGCTGGCGGAGGAGGAAGGAAAGCTCCCGGCACCTTCAGGTTCTTTGGTTGCTGCCGGAGCTCCATGAAATGCTTCCTGTGCAGCTCCCGCTCCCGCCGCTTGTTGTATTCCAGCTGGTTCTCGAGCTCGGTCTGGTGCTGCAGCCGGATGAGGTCCATGCGCAGCTTCTGCAGCGTGTGCAGCTGCCGGTACTCCAGCTCGCGCGTGGACTCGTCGTGCCGGATCAGCATGGCGTGCTCCATCTCCTTCTGCGTCCGCTTCTTGTTCAGCTCCTGCGCAGGGCGGGACACGGGGACACAGCTCAGCAGTGCTGGGGTTTGTGGAGCTGGTGCCCATAGGCAACACCGAGGGCTTCCATGTGCCACGGGGAAACAAACCCAGCAGCACG